TGTATGTGTATGTGTATGTGTATGTGTATGTGTATGTGTATGTGTATGTGTATGTGTATGTGTATGTGTATGTGTATGTGTATGTGTATGTGTATGTGTATGTGTATGTGTATGTGTATGTGTATGTGTATGTGTCTTAAATGATCTGAGTCGACGTGTCTTAATGAACGTATGCGTGCATGTATGTGTGCATTTGTATGTGTATGTGTATGTGTGTGTGTGCATATGCAACATCGCACCCCCTCATCCCATCGCCTTCCATGCTCACCCTCCTCTTATCACACCATCCCAAACCCCGGCGCACACGGTAGACCCACTGCCACGTCCTTGCACACATACACGCGCATACACGCCCAAACTGCCGTACGGCGCTGTCACATATCGCCTGGTGCCGTACAGTCACTGTCGTACCTTCCAGCCGTAATGGCCTGCCCAAACGGCCGTGTTGAGGATGAGGCGGTCCATGGCGGGTTCCGAGGGGGTCGTGGCGTTGGGATTATTCGCCGTACAGCATTGCGTCACCATTCGCTCTGCGCCGAAAGCTGCAAGACGCCCCTTGCCGTACCTTCCCGCGATGACCGCGGGGGAGTTGGACTCTGTTACGAAGATTGGCACGGCAGCGCCCCACATCACCAAAGCGGCTGTCGCAAAGTTGTTCGGAATTTCGTTTGGTACACCAGCCGTGATCTGCGGTACATCAAGGCGCCTGATCGTATTGATATCCTTAAGGATGCTTGTGTTGGTCGGCGGCGGCGGCGGCGATGGCAGCGGCGGTAGGAGGGGTATGTCCGACGGCAGCCCCGGCGGCGGCCGAGATGGCTTTGGCGGCGGCCGCGGCGGCGGCGGCGGCGGCGAGGGTGGTCGGGGGGGAATCGGCGGAGGGCGAGGGGAGGGAGGGAGGGGAGGTGGTGGCGGCGGCGGCGACGGCGGCGCAGGTGGCGTCGGCGGGGGTGGGAGGGCAAGGCCTGGCGGCGGCGGCGGCGACCTCCGAGGGGTCCTCGGTCGCGGCGGCTTTGGCGGCGACGGCGGCGACGGCGGCGATGGCGGTGACGGCGGTGGCGGCGGTGAAGCTGCAGGTATAGACGGCACATGACATTGCATTACATGACTTAGTGACAGTGCGACCAAACCAAAACGCTCTCCGGATATCGGCCTAGTCCCGCTGTTGTGGGAACAGTGAACTCAAAAATTTGAACGCGGGATGTAATGCTAGGAAGCAATTCATCTATATAGATATAAATGTACCCGAACATAAACAAACAAATGTACGATAGGCCGTACACCCTAGAACGCGCCAGACCCCCGATCCCGTTTAATTACCTAACAAACAAGGACCTACCTACCTACCTACCTAATTACCTAACTACCCAACTACCAACCCCCCTCCAACAGCTCCTAACTTCTTATATCATAAACGCAGCGCCAGTCAACTGCCCAACTACTGCCAAATTCCGTCCCCATCACTACCATTACTACCATCACTATCGTCACCGCTATTTCTCATCTGCCTTCTCCTCCATCGACCACCTCTCGTTTTGACTGCCACCCTCCCTTGATAACGCTTGTACGACATCCTCACTCGTACTATCGTACTCACGTGCGCGAGCCACCAGTCCCAGCGAAATGTATCCAATATCTGCTGCCGCGGTGGCGCGAAGTGATCCCACCCACGCCCCCGCCGGCACCTCCACCACCGGGTAGGTGCTATTGCCGCCCGCAGTGGTGCTGCTGTTACTGCTGCTGTTACTGCTGCCGCCGCCGTACAATTCGTAGAAACGACATCCGTACGTTCGTTCCACCGTGCCGTTGGCGTAATGCAGGGCCAAGCCGCCGGTGGTGCCACGGGCGTTGCAGCAGGCAGTTACGGCGGTTAGCGGTTGGTTATGTAGGATTATGGTTTCGGTGCTGATGAGTGATGGGGCTGCATCACGACTGAAGAGGCTGCCGCTGATGGTGAGCCAGCTTTCCCCGTTTTCATCGTAGACGTAGACCTCGAGGGCGACCAGTGTTGAGCCGCCAGGCCCATCGAGCGGTACGAATCTGTGCAGCTTAATGGACAGGATCCTTTCACGGTCCGTTTCGAGCAGCGAGTCGTGCACCACGTCGGCGCCAAAGTTGGAGCTGGCCAGACACATGGGCGCGGAGTAGTTGACGATGAAGTTGTTGTGATTAATGATTGAGGGCAGCGGCGGAGGGGGAGGGGGCGCCGGGGGGGCGGCCGGCCGGCGAGGCGGAGAGAGGGGTTCTGACGGCGGTTCTGATGGCGGCTCATCGTCGTAAGTGTACGGTCGCAGCGGCGGCGGCGGCGGCGGCTGATCCTGCTGCTGCTGTAGAAGCCGTCCTTGAGCCAGCTGACGCATCACGGCCGTCTCGTCGCGCTTCGTGACCTCCATCCCTGCCGCTGCTACTTCTCCAACGCCGTTGTCCCAATGTGGGAAGCGATCCCCCTCCAAGTCATGAGCCAAAGATACTGCATCCGTTGGGGGCAGTCCGGTTCGATGCGCATTTGGGAATTGGGGGCAGAGGGAGGAAACGGCAGCTTGATGCGTTGGGTGCAGTAGGACAAGATTCCTTTATTCGTACGCGTTGTAAACATCGATCGTTTTGTCGTGATGTGGTGGACGCTCCAGGGAATGGGTCTCACGGCATACCGTCGTTGCATAGCCTAAACTGGTCGTAAGGAATTGTAAATTCTGCTTGGTGCGTGAGGGCATTTCGCTTCGGTATGGCTATAAAAGCATTCCGTTGAGGTAAAACTTTAATACATCTTCCGCACTCGTTTACTGGGTGGCTCTTCACATTGCTTGTTAAGTCTATTTTGTACCTGATTGAAATGAAGAGCGCCTGGGTTTGCGAAATGCTTTCGTATGCTGCGAAAATGCTTGAGAGCGCACAGTGGGGCATAACTTACAACTTCCGTAACAGAGATTTAATTCTTTAATGACTTGAATTGGCATTTGCAAGCCAAAGATGTTTTGATTGGTCATAAAGGCTCATCAATTGCAGTTCCAACCATGGCGTCCCCGTGCCAGGCCGAAACAAAGCCTTGCTTCATGACAAGAAAATGAGCATAGTGGAGCATCTTTAGATTGAGAAGAACTTGATAGTTTGTTCAAACTCACCGGCGCCCTCCATAGCTGTCGCTAAGCTCCGCCATGGGAGTGTTGCTAGTGCCAATACGAGCGCGCCGGCGAACAGAGATCCAACGCTAAATAATGTTCCTAAGGCGCATCTGTGTCTTGTGCCGTGTCCCATGCTCAGGGGTGTCGCTGTAACGCTGTAGTCCAGCCTTTCGTTACGATTCCCAAACCATACGACTCTCCCCCTAACACCTGCTGAACGTTAACCATCCATAATCAGGCCCGCCTTACTAACTATGTTTTTAGGAATAGAATATCCTAGCAATGCGCTGTACGGGTTTCTCTTAGTGCCAATCAGCACAACGTACAGATGGGAAGGTGTGTGGCTTCCGTTATTTCAGTCGCCCAAAGTTAACCAGATAAAAGGATAAAAATGTTGCATCAAGTCAGGTGCAGGTGCAGGTAAGATGAGATCTGACATTACGGACAGCAATTATCACATTACACCATTACTTCGCGAGAAGCAACATAATGATGCAATGAGTAAATCCCGATGGCTTCGTTCACTTTGAACTGCGGAAAAGGGTTCGTTGCGGCCTGTGGCGATTCGGTGACGACGAGCACGCCAACTTGCATTTGCTAATGGATCCAAAGTTTCTATTGTGCTCATGAATAAAACCATATCACCGTAATCTGTATCTGGCAGAGCCTGCAGGGATGCGGCACCTTTCATCTTGCCACGTATAACGAACATTAGGACTGCGGTGAGCTAAGGATGCATCCCCAACGATGGATGGCCTGGCCAATACTGGCGACAACGTCCAACGCCCGGTCTCGCCTGTTCGTGGGAAGGTCCAAATGCTCCCCAATGAAAGGTGCTCTGCGACCAACCACAAAACGGAACCTAATCTGTCACTAAAAAAGCTGCTTCACAAAGCTGCTTCACAAAATCACGGGAGGATTACCGTCCTTGGTATCTCAATGGTGATGATAACCTTGGCTCTAGCACAAACATCCATAGTGTAGTTACAGCAGCTGTGGACCCGGGAACTGCAGAAGGGCCCCACCTTTCAAGAGCATGATGTTGGTGGTAGTGGACACGCCGCCGCCAGTACCAGTGTACGGCAGGCAGGCTGTCGGGATGGGATTTTGCGGAGCTTGTGCTGCCGGTGAAGAAAGGGAAGTGTGGAGCTCCGTACGCGCGGCTAATGACAAATGAAAATGCTCCATGCTGTGTTCTCGAAGAGGTGATGCTAACATGGCACCTGTTATGGAAGCCGTTTATGGCTCAGATATTGGACAGCTGTGCCCGCGCATAAAAGCGACTGCGCTGTTAAGGTGCAGTAGTAACCACGGGCCGTTCGCTCCCCCAAAGAGCTTAACGAGGGATAGAAGCACGCCCTGGCGACACAGCGCAATCCCAAGTACTGTAGTTGTTGAAGTCCGGCCTTTCTGCCATTCTGCTTATTGAGTCTTGCTTGGCGCTACTGGTAAATGGTTCCGCGGTTAGGGTGGAGCGCGATCTTCCGTACTTGTCCGCACGCCTTCTGAGTCCTTGGCGATGGACCTTACTGTTATCTTTCGTCTGGAATGCTTGTTGTGTGTTGATAGTGATTTTTTTATTCACACTGCTGCAAAATGGATCAAAGGTGGTTGTTCAATGATCAAGGAAGATCAAGGAAGACTGAAAGTAAAATACTGACAACACTAATTGCAGCAAGAACGTTATACGCATCGAATTCAATGCGTATAACTTCGAGAAGTTAGCCCAAGAATTCAGTCCGGGATATCCTGAGATGCGGCTCGGTCACCCAGAACTGACACTCCGGGAGGCAGATGGGAGTAACCCTTTGTGGTGTATACTAGAGATGTGAGGAGGATCAGCTTAAATTTCGCGTGTCAATTGTACTGAATGTGTAGTATTGTGGCCCTGGCCCAGCTTCCTCTACACACCACCAGTGAGGGGCAAACCCCAGAGGCCTTTCGGTGCTGGTCTTATGATGGACACACAAGACATTGCCGGTCACCGATGGGGCTCCAAAGCCCGGATGTCCTGCTCCAGCGGTGACTGCCTGTCCTCGTCTGAACCCTCCTGCCCTGCTCCCGCTGTGGCAGCGGCAGTTGCTGGTGCTGCTGGGCGGCAGCGGCGGCGGCAGACTATCACCGCAGCAAAGGGGCATTCATTCAAAGACCGACCCAGATGGCGGGGCTAGTAGCCAGGAAAGGACTCCGGAGGGAAATTATCAAAACGAGCCCCCCTGGAGCTTGTGATAAGCCGTAACGCCTGGCCGCACGCGCTTGCGCTGCTGCGTTGAAGTGGCTAACCCCCCTCTGGTGGACACATTCACGGCTCTTCACCCCTACTGCCACCATTGCAGCACAAAAGCCATCTCTGCACTCATTCATATGCCGCGGGCGGAAGGCCAGCACATCGAACCGCTGCAGGAGGGTTTTTTTGGTGCCGCCGGATAGGGTTGTTTCCGTCGCGCCTCAGGGAAATGTTTCCCACCAATGTTGGCCACTTTGGTGTCTGGGAGGCAGTCCACTTCCGTCGGAGTGGCAACGAAGTGAATGCGGCACTGCGGGCACCGTTTGGTTTGCACGACAACGCTGACAGGGGTGCTGCACCCAGAGAAGCATGGTGATCGGACAACTCTGGGCCCCCAGCTGCCCGGGTGAGAGCTGCATCAGAGAGGGCATTTCATGCCCATGCTGCCAAGACCGCTTCTATGATACACCCGTGCGTTGCGTTGCATGCAACATCTTTTGCGAGTATTGTCTGCTGAAACCAAATCATGAAAGTATGCGGAAGCTAAATCCTTGATGTACGGCAACGGACGCGCTTCGTTGCTGCCGCCTTCGCAGCGTCTGACGATGTCACTGTCACTGTCGTCCACCCCCTCGGGCCCTGAGCCAGCTGGAAGCCACTCCTTTTTTTATTTTTCAGCAATCCTACACCCTTTGCGGCGTTCTTGATCCTTTCAATACCGGTCGAACTTCCCCGCGAAGGTCGGCATCGCTAGACAGGCTTCATAACATCTGTTATAGGTAACATTAATATTTTTTTACCAAACATTTACCAGTGCTGCTATTGTCCTTTAAGGTGTTTGCAAACGCCTAGTCGCGCAGCGGCTATGGTACGGCATGTCGAATTGAACAATTGGGGCTTGGACTTGATGCGCACAGTGCAGGCGTTTGTCCGAGGCGAAATTTTAAAGCATATTTTTTAGTGACAGTTTAGGCTCAATTTTATGGTCGGTCCCAGAGCACCTTTGATAGGGGAGACGAACAGGCGAGACCGGGCGTTGGACGTTGTCACCAGTATTGCCCAGGCCATCCATCCTTTGACTTTGCTTAAGAACCATGTACCATGCAATCCCACAGGTTGAACACGACGTAGGGATTGGCGTGCAGCAGCTGGTGGGCGGGCGGGCGGGGGGCCGTCGGGCGCCTACGGCCGCGTACGGTCGCGTACGGCTCGGCGCGCTCGCTCGCAGCGATACGGCCCCGGCGCGCAAATGTGCAATTTTACCCGAGTGGCGACAAATCTTAAATTAAACGCATACTTTGGAAAGAAATCCGCATAAGTGATTTCACCGTTTTCATAAGTGACTTTCACCATTTTCGATGGCTCGCCGTGTGGCCCATACCCTCTTCATCAAAGAGGCGACGGGCTCTTCTGAGGTATTGGATGAAGCTATTCTTCTTTTGCAACGGACATTCCATCGTTTATGGTTTCATTTACGATGGGAAAATGAACAAAAAGAGGTTT